TCTTCGAAAAAATCAAAAACGAAATTAAATTTTAACGTCATTTAATTTAGAATTTTATACTAAAATTAACACTAGCACTAGATCTAGAAACTTTCGGGTTAAGCCGTGCGTCTTTTGAAAAAATATTTGACGTTTCGGATGCCATGTTGCAACCTTCTTCAGAAACAAGTTCGACGTGACGAAATCGGTTTAAATTTGACAATAAATACATGAAAAGATAATTAATAACAAATTAGTGTCTAATTGTCAACTAAGTTGTTTTTGTCAAATCCGGGTGGAGCAGGTTTCGTTGAGTTCACTAGCATCTTTCATGTGCGGCTGAGTTTCCAACCGTCTTGACGTCATTTCTGTTGAAAACTCTTGAAAAAGTTCTGGAACGGTATATCCGTACGGGACCACTGGTATCTGGTTTACTGAGTGAAAATCAGCAGAATTGGCTCTACACAACTTGGTTGGTAGAGTATCCAAGATAAAGAGATCTTGGTTTGTGCGTTTCTGGATATAGAAGGTGCACTCAACAACGCAATACCACAATCTCTTGAACGAGCTGTTTAACAGGAGATTGGAAGCAACTATAGCTGGTGAGATCCGTAATATACTTAATTGTAGAATAGTTTCTAGTTCACTCCACGGTGACATGATACGCTTCAGGCCGGGAGGTGGCTATCCGCAGGGAGGGGTGTTACCTCCCTTGCATTAGTCTCTCCTGGTTGATCATTTGATTGCGATAGTCAAAGCTGTTGGTGTAGAAATACAAGCTTATGCTGATGACATTATCGTTATGGTCAAAGGAACCTGTTTGTCGAGTATATCCAAAAATCTGAAAACTAAGAAAGCTCCAGGACCTGATCAAATTTCTAACTTGACCATAAAAAATCTGCCGGAAAAGTAGTGCAGTTTTTGAAGAGATTTCCAAACTGTTGGAAACACGCCCATGTACTTATGTTTCTAAAGCCAGCGAAGCCCAAGAGCAACATCACCAGCTACCGACCGATTAGTCTATTATCTACATTATCCAAAATGTTAGAAAAAGTAATTAATTACCGCCTATGTGAAGCACTAAACGAAATGAATGTGATTCCACTCTTCCAATTTGGTTTTAGAAACCAGTTCTCGACCAGTCATCAATTACAACAATTATCAAACATAATTGAAAACGGATTTGAAATGAAGCAATACTCGACCGCCTTATTTCTCGATATTGCCCAAGCTTTCGACCGTATATGGATCAACGGATTAATTTATAAAATATTACACCTGGATCTTGACAGCAATATCAAGCAAATACTAATATCCTTCCTTAAAAACCGATCTTTCTCTGTTAAAATTCATGAATCCCTCTCCGAAACAAAAAATATATTCGCTGGTGTACCTCAAGGCAGCGTCCTCTCTCCCACCCTGTTCAACATCTACATGAGTGATATGCCACAACCAAATGTTGACATGCTGGCATATGCGGACGATACAGCCTTAATAGCGCAAAGCTTTGAACTCGAGGATGCGACTGAAAATCTGCAAATAGCTATAAACACCCAAGTTAAATGATTCAAGTCTTGGAATATAGCAAGAAATACATCCAAGTGCATCGCTAAAATTTTTACACTCAAACGAATTAAAAGCCCACCGGAATTAACAATTAACGGAGAAACTATTAGGTGGAACGACTCGGACGAACCGGTTAAATATCTTGGCATATTCCTTGACACAAGATTAACTTGGATATACCATACACTCCAAAAAGTTAATCAAGTCAAATCTTGATAAACAGAAGAACAAGACTTAAATGCGAAAACACTATTTTAATTTATAAAACAGTCATTCGACCACTCATCACCTATGCCTGCGTTGTCTGGGGAAACTCGGCTAAATCAAATCTTAAGAAGGTTCAGGTTTTACAAAGCAAAATACTACGCATAGCAGTAGACTCCGAGTGGTATATCTCTAATGATCAACTACACAACGAATTAAAAATTGATAGTATCACAGCCTTTATAGCTAAAATGACTTCACGGTTTCACGAACGCATAAAATACACAGAAGTACTACAGCCATACAACCTCAGCAAAAAGAACATCCACTGCCGTCTTAAAACGAAACTACCACAAGACATCTACTTGATTTAAAAATACGTTAAATGTTACCATCCAATCTAACTTATGTTTATTATTTTGTAAGTGACGAGGTCCTTTTAGTTATGTAATGTGACATTTATTTAGTATAAGAAAAAGCCTTGTATAGTAATGTTAATTTACTAGTCTGGCAATAAAAGTACTTAAAAAAAAGAGGATATCCAAAGTCCTCCAGGCGACCCTAGATACCATTTGCGCTTGGTGTAAAGGAGAGAATCTCTCGATAAACCCACAAAACACAGTCGTTGTGCCCTTCACCAGGACACGAACGTTGAATGAACTAATCCAAGGTGAAGAAATTCCTTTCTCAAAGAAAGTCAAATATCTAGGAATAATCCTAGACAAACAGTTTTGCACAAAGCTAGACTATCCTTGTGGATTTGTCATAAACTTTTTGGAAAAAAATTGGGGTCTTACCTCTGAAAAACCCTGGATCGAAAACGGAAATTCTCTGGTTCAGGCAGATATTTGCATATTCACAGTGATCAAAAACGCCGAAGGGCGTCCAAGCAGGAGTATACTGCTAGACACTATCTGGGTACGTACTGTACTGTATTCCAGGCGGAAGTATTTGCTATTGACATGGGTGCTAAAATCCGTCTTGAGAGTGGGGTGAAGAACATGACAGTACTATTTTTCTCAGACAGTCAAGCCGCTCTCCAGGCGCTGCAAGCCGTGAAAACGGTGTCGGCTCTGGTTAATGTCTGTAAAGCGGCTCATACACGATGACTCTTGCGGCGGTGCCGCCAGAGCCGCCGCAAGAGTCGTCGCATGCGACGGATTTTAACGGCCTACACACGTAGACTCTTGTGGCGTCGTGCCGCACTTCTTTAACCGCTATCGACGGACCTATACCAATGCATATCTGGCCAGACAATAGCCAAGAAATTGGCTGCAGAATACCAATACTACTTGCAGAAGACTAAATACTTCCTATAGAGGACAAATACTACCTATACAATACTAGAAACTGCTTAAAAAGATAGATATCGTCTAAAGAAACCTAAGTACTGCTACCAATAGACTACAAATTGGTTGCAGAATACCAATACTACTTGTAGAAGATTAAATACTGCCAGCAAAAGGCTAAAAACTCCTTGCGGAAGACAAATACTACCTATACAATACTAGAAACAGTTTGCAGAAGATAGATATTGTTTATGAAAGGCTAGGTACTGCTATCAATAGACTACAAATTGGATCCAGAATACTAATACTGCTTGTAGAAAATTAAATATTACTGGCAGAAAGCTAAATACTGCCAGACAATTTAGACAAGCTTATTTATGGCGGTAGTTTTTCAGTTTCTATTGATGTAATTTTTTGATTTTGAGTCGCATAAATATGGGCACATTCTATATAGGTTCATAAATTTTTTCCAAAAATCTTTTTTTTTAACACACTGAGTTGTGATAATAGAGTTTCTCTGATCTGGGTCCCAGGTCACTCTGGAGTTGTTGGCAATGAAGCGGCAGATGAGCTAGAACGAGAGGGGGGTCATAACCAGCAGTTGGCGTATCATTTGCGATGGCCAAACATCGGATTGGAATGTGGGCTGAAGAGAGACTTCGCCTACTATGGACCATTTCTCCTGGAATGAGACATGCTAATGTATTTATTAACATCGCCTCTGTCAAATTCTGGAATATTTTAGGACTTTTTATTAAAAACACATCTCAACATGTTGGGTCTAGTCGACGATGCTGAATGCGGACTATGTGCCGAGGACGAGGAGACGGTTATGCATGTTTTATTCCACTTTTCTGCTGTTAATCGTATCAGGTTCTCGATTTTTGGGTCGTAGTTTATCTCCCCAAACGATCTGAATGACTTTTCACCTGGTGAAATTTGATAACGTTGTCTATCGGAGTACAACAGATACTTAGTACCCGATATGTAATCTATTTAATGTAATGTAATAGGTGGTAGACCTTGGCATATGAACTTTTTATGATACGAATATTGCTACAACTTCGCAGTATACTAAGTAAGATGCAGGAAAAAGAAAGAATAATATGAATTGAGATATTTTTTTGTCAGTGAGAAATCAATAAAATTTATATTATAACTATAATTTCATTTCTTCAAATAAATCAAATCAGGTAAATAAACAAAGAAAAAATTTATTTTCTGTTTTATATTTCCGGTTGTTTATACGAACATGAAAAAACACGACATGAACGCAGAGAAAAGAGGGTTTGTCGTTGTTGTATACAAGGGGAAAAATTGAATACTAAATCAAAAACGGAATGATTTCGTTCTCCCTACGAGAAATAACGTTATTTTATCTTTCTGACTTCTGCCCATTTCATATCTTAGTTGTTATCTGATTTTTCGAGGAATAGAGAAATTTCCCTCGTTGTTCTCGAGACGAATTGATTCAATTTATCATATTTTATGGGAAAATACATAAATAAAAATAAAAGGAGGCAGACTAATTTTCATAAATAACCTAGAAACAATTGTTTGTGTTCAAAAATAACTTGCAACAAAGTTGATTGGTTTTTAATTTTATAATCGTTTCCGTTTTCTAATTTTAAACCCGTCGTCGCATAAATCACAATCTATTCATTCATTCGTTTAATTATAACTTTTAAAAAATTATTACACATCCGTCTCATCCGTTTCAGATAACCCTTCATTTACTAGCTTTTTCCTTTTTAACAACTAAAGATAGACACGTGTTTGATGACTTATAAATCTTGTAACGAATAAGAATCAATCTATTATTGTCTCGGCTCGTTGTTTACGACACGCATTAATCGACAATTTAACAAGGCTACAATTAATTGCTAATTAGCATCAATTAGAAACTTTTAAACTCAACATCTTTTCAATTTTTATCAATAAAAATTTTATTATATTTTCTAGGTGGAGCTGGAAGTGGTGGTGAAGGTGCCGATTCAGAAAGTGCAGCGTCAAAACGGCGAAGAAGTCGAACGAATTTTAATAGTTGGCAACTTGAAGAGTTAGAAAGAGCTTTCTTGGCGAGTCATTATCCAGATGTTTTTATGCGAGAAGCTTTGGCGATGAGATTGGACCTGAAAGAAAGCAGAGTGGCCGTAAGTTTTGAGTTATTTTTATATTTTGATGTTTGGATGTGCTTAATTTTCATCTTATATCAGATCAGAGTCGGATTAAATCGAAAATAAATCGTCTTAAAAATGATTAATGAGGGTTAAATTATAAATCAAAATTAATAAAACAGTCAAAAAAGTTAAGTTGTGTTTAATTAAATTAAAATATATTTGAGATTGGTGTCAAAACATATCATTCTTTAAATTCTCGTTTCTCAATAACTATTTAAGATATTATCAATTAATAAGAAGCATTTTGAAGCTAATTTAATTAATATTTAATGTGCTGTAAATAATTTCTTTACTCTTACTAATTTCGCCGTTATGATTCTTTAAAATACAACTCCATTTCTCTAATTATGGAAGTTGTGACCAAAAAGAATGAATTTTAAAAAACATCATAACTTTCTTAAATACGACATTATATTAAAGAACAGTACCTTATTGAAATCTAGATTTAAAAAATCATTTCTCAATAACTGTTTGAGATATCATCAATTAATAACAAGTACTTTGAAGCTAATTTCGTTAATATTTAATGTGCTTTAAATAATTTCTTTACTCCTACAAATCTACCCGTTATGATTCTTTAAATGCTTACAACTCTATTAATCCAATTATGAAAGATGTGTCCAAAAATTAAATGGTAAAAAATCGTATTTCAAGAACTAATTGAAATTGCGGTGAAATAAAAAGCGATTTAAAGCAAATTTAATGTAAATTCGGCAAAACAAGTAGTAAATCTTCATTTGCATATATTCTTTTATAACAACTTTTTTAATTGGGACTGTGCTGTATAAAGAATTATAGTTTACAAATTTGAATCAATCTTTTCCGCGATTTATAACGTAGAATGTGGAGTTGATTCTAAAACTGACTTCAGTTTTTCTCCATCACGTCCAGTTTTCCAGAATATCCCCAAAAATGTAACAGGGTGTCCAAATTTCGATGGGTTTGCAGGGTATCTCAGTTATTATGAAAGGTAGAAACCGTGATGACTAGAAAAATTCTACGTGCACCATTGGATTCCACGTGAAAAAATCTATTAGAACCCGCTTTTACTTTTTTACTAAGTTTCCGGATAGCCGAGATACAGGAGGTGTCTGAAAATCGTAAATTTCAAACACTCCCTGTATATCAAAAACGAAGAGGGCTATGAAAATTTGGTTTGCGCCATTGTAAGTTTCACAAAAAAGTAGCTCAGGTTCGCGAAAGCCACAACTTTCTATCTTTCATAATAACTGAGATACTCTGCAAACCCATCGAAATTTGGACACCCTGTACATATGTTACCGGCAATCTCCTTAGGCACACCTAAGATGGACTAGGCAATTCGCACATTGCCCGAACATTTTCGACCAAGTCCGAAATCACTTTTAATTTTGGGGTTTGCCTACTATGCAACTAAGCAAACTTAGGTGTGCCAAATAAGGCTCAGGGGAAGTCCGAAAAGTGTAAATTAACTTCGGACTTTGCCTAAAGTGGGTCAGACAAACTTGAGTTTCACGTGCTTTCCTTGTCAGTGATGCACACGACGCACTCTGCAAGTTTCAACTTGTCGACGATCAGTCATTTCCTTACTGCGTTTGAGTGTACTTCGAGCTAAAAGTTTCAAAATGAGAAGTGCAATAAATGCAACCGATTGTGTGCCTTTTAAAACCTAAAACAGAATTGAGATCTAAATTTATGGAAAAATTGATGAACAAGTCATCAGATTCATTTCTAATTGAAAGCAAGCAACGCTACCAGGAAATTATTGAAGAAGCAGAAGCTGCAAAGAAAGCAACAATTACAATATCGCCGCCTTAAATGTTACGAAAGAAGAATACGATGCCGTTGAAATTAGATCGATTAGACACCCCGAACAGGCCGAAATTTGCGATTGTTTGAAGAAAAAGGATTTTCCCGGAATATAAGAAATGGTTAGGAAAATTTTCTTTTTCATTCTGATGCAAGAAGCGACCAGGAATATAATGCCGTTGAAATTAGATCGATTGAATACCCCGATCACGCATTTTTTTTCAGTTTAAAATCTATGGCTGAAATCTATGGCCAACTTCTCACGCGTAAAATTGGAACCTGTTTGTTGTATATGCAAAAAAGAAACTTGAGGAGTCCACAAGTGTTATAAAGGTGTCCCAACAACAGAGCCGGATTTAGATTTGCCGCCATTTTATTAATACGAGTTGTACGGCGTTTTTTGTTTGACAGTTGTCACGTATAGACCGTCTAACCGTTGTAAAAACACATTACAAAAATGGTGAAAGTTTTGCGAAAACTGTTCGCCAATTACGTCAAGTTTTCGGTCGCAATAATGCGCCAAATGAATCAACAGTGAGGCGTTTAATTACAAAATTTGAGACCAAATTTATGCTGGTGGATCAGAAGATCAATGTTCGTCGTCGTGCTTGTCGGTCACTTGAAAACATAGCCGCAGTAAGAGAATTTGTGGTCGAGAACCCATTCGAGGGAACTTCCATTCGGCATCGTGGTCAAGAATTAAACACTTCCAGAAACACTGCATGCATTTTGGTAAAAGATCTGCATTTGCACGCGTACATGGTTCAATTGGTGCAAGAAAACAAGCCAAGGGACCATGCGCAGCACCGTGGATTTGCTGATTCGGTGTTGGAACATCATCAAATTAATGCGGACTTTTCGAAGAAAATCATTTTTTCAGATGAGGCACATTTTCAACTCGACGTATACGTAAATAAACAAAACTGTCGAATTTGGGGTGCTGAAAATCCTCGTGTGGTACTCAAACAACCAATACATCCACCGCGAGTAACTGTTTGGTGTGCATTTTGGACTCTTCTTTGAAAATGCGGCTTTTTGTGGCCCGAATTGGATGTCATTGATGTGGAGGACATGTTTTTCCAACAAGATGGTGCGACCTGCCACACAGCACGTGAAACAATGGCGTTACTGAAGACCAAGTTTCCGGGCCGTGTCATTTCACGATTTGGCGATCAACATTGGCGACCAAGATCGTGCGATCTATCACCGATGGACTTTTTTCTTTGGGGCTATGTAAAGGAAAAAGTGTATGCGAATAAGCTTGAAACAGTTGAAAATCTTAAAGAGGAAATACGGCGCGTTATTGGTAAAATACAGCCATATTTATGCGAAAACGTTATAGAAAATTTCAACAAAAGAATAACCCTGTGCCAGAGGTTTCGTGGTGGTCATTTGCCTGATGTTGTATTTCACATTTAATCGGAAATATTTTTCTTTATGTTGAAATCAAAATATTATTAAATGTGTTTTTCTTTAAAATTAAATCCGGCGCCTTTGTTGGGACATCCTTTAGCTGTACGCAAAATGTTCATGTCATCTGTGCCCAGAGTACAAGTGATACCAACGAGGGTTACGGAGCATCGGTTTTATGTCTTCGGTGTGCAACAAGAAAAACGATGACTTGCAGAGAAAATGAAGTTTACATCTAATAAAAAATTTCCCCCGATTGAGGTTGGAACATCAATCTGCCTGTTCCAAGCCTTGACAGGAGCAAAGGAGATGCGCGGCATCCCAGAGATTGAATTCTCTCTGTATTAGATTAGTATCCAAAACTCTGCCTTCGAAGGCCAAAGGTTTTTGAAGTGTAACTGCAATAAAAAATGTTGAACAAATTTATGCAAATGTAAGAGGGCTAAAGTGTTTTGCAACTCGAAATGTCACCTTTCAAACTCGTGTTCAAACAAGTAATGGTTTAATTGCCTACTTGCGTACTAGGCAAAACCCGAAATTAAAAGTTATTTCAGACTTGGTCAAAAATGCTCGGGCAATGTGCGAATTGTCTAGTCAATCTTAGGTGTGCCGGTGTAAGGGAGATTGCCGGTAACACATATATTGTTTAATTTGCATAGTGTGCTTCTATAGCTATATGGACGTGAAAGTAGAGATCCAAATGAACATTTTGAGGTATTGATGGCATAAATTGGACTCTCCGGTATTTTACTAGAGCCTAAAACAACTAAACAAAATCAAATTTTTTTTTACTTAATCGCATCGTGACAAAAAAGAATTATATATGAACAAAAAAGTTAGCTATTCTATCTTGTAGAATATTTAATTCTCTAAATATCGAAGCATTGGATACCATGGGCGAACGTATTTTACTAGAGATATCGTTAATTTGCAAGAATCGTGTAAAATTATATTTTTTGCCATTTTAACTGCATTGTTGAGACAAGACAATTTTTTGTATATCTTTGGGTCAGTCTTTCTGATAACACTCCAGAGATAATTTCCCACCATCCCTGCGTCCCAGTAACCTTGATAACGTCTTTCCAATATCATTAAATCTTGATGGAACCCCGATTAAATCTTATGGCATGGTAATTGTGTAATAAATTATTACGCGACAATTCTCATCCTTATGGTTTCCTAAAAATCCATGTACGGTTTGTTTGAAGCTAATCCACGCCGTTACTTCTTTTGTTGTTAATTTTGTTATTTGAAGGCCAACAAATATGCATTCTTTTAGTTTAGCGTACGATAGTTGTGGAAAGAGCTCGGTAAGATATTAAATGCTGGGCCTTCTGGATTCAAAGTTTTCACAAAGTTTTTCATCAACCCCAATTTGATGTGTAGTGGAGGCAATATTACAGATTCTGTTCTCACCAGAGGCTTGTTTAAGACATTGAAAGCACCAGTATCATAGAAGGCCAGTCAATATTTTGTAAAACTGTCTTGTAAGCCAGTAACCACAGCAACTACCTGAAAATCATATTTCTTTACTGCGGCAATTACCTTTAAATCTGCACAAACTTTCCATTGGAATGCATTGTACTGAATTAGACTCAAAACTTCTTATATACGCACATATGTTTCTTTAACACTGACGGCACGAACAAGTGGAAAAGTTGTTTCCATTATGAAGTAAAGCTGTTTTAAGAGTGTTTTTAGAGCTATCGATAAAAAGACGCCATTCACTTGGTCTATTTTCAATTCATCAAACAGTCTGTGCACTTTATTACAAT